CACACACACACACACACACACACACACACACACACACACACACACACACACACACACACGTGACATATGAAGGCAGGTACAAGGAAAAAAGAAACCCCTCTCTGATTGGTCAGAAGTATACAGCAGACTATTTGTATATGTATTTATATACACATCACTGGGAGATCTGAATTAAAAAATAAGTCCTAAATCGCAGAGATGATGACAATATTCTTATTGTCTGTAGTTTTGAATGATTCTGAGAGAAAGGGAAGAGTGATCGATGAGACCTATGACGCTGCTACTGGAGGAGTCCAAGTACATTACGGGGACATTAGATGTATGAAACAAATAAAAGGACAGATGGGGTTTAAAAAAGGATAGGTGGCACGGAGGAGATCAGCTGAAAACTCGGGGTGTATTGGGTCCGGTTCCCTGCAAACCAGACTGTACTGCAGGACGTGGGGTTTGGACGGCTGGTCAGACGTGCCAGTTGAGACAAAAGGAYGAGTGAATCCGCTGGTTTCTGGGCTTTCTGGTTAGGGGAACAAGAGGGAGACAGAAACAGTAAGAAGAACTATACATGCTACTTCCTCTTTTTATTACCGTTTGTACGCTTCACCGACTTCTCTTCACCAAACAACCTCATCTAACCAGAGCAAACTTAGTAAAAAGAAGTCAAACTTTTTTAAAAGCATGAAAAAAACTATTAACTTCTTATCCAAAACTTTACAATATTGTTCCATTCTTTCAGTCCCCGGAAAACAAACATTTTGYCTTCAGTTTTATACAATAGAAGTTAAGTGGATTGAGTTAATTGAGTTGATGATCCATCTAAGAAGGGATTTCAAACATTTAGAACWATTCAAGCCTAGAAAACTGATAGCAGTTCAAATGAATGCCTTATCTTATTATTTTTACATCATATTGCTATTCATGAACCTGTTTAAAAAACAAACCATTTTTAGCATAACTTCTCCATTTACAGTAACTATCAAATGCAAAAGGCTGCTTAAAAAAATCACGACATACCGTAGCGTCAGAGGTGTCAAAAGTATTCACATTCATTGCTTAAGTAGAACTATAGAGATACTTGGGTTTAAGAATATTTTTGGAAGTATAKGTATTTACTTYAGCTTTTTACTCAAGTAAATGTGAAAATGTTGGTTTTAAAAATACTTCAAGAATAAAAGCAATGTAAAGAGAAAAATAGCCATCAAGGATAAAAGCTAGCCACAGAGGTCTATAGTGCACAACCCCACTTCCCCTTAAAAAAACATTTTTTTAAATGTAAGGCTACCTGTTTCAGCTGTATATCTCTGCCTGTACAAACCAATAGGGTGTAAATATAGTATATATTATGCTTCTCATCCAACCACAGTATAAATCACACTATCCAGGAGGCACCATGTATCTGGATGAGGTAGTTTTTTGTTTTTTTCTGAATGATGACAACACAATCAAATAGAAATGAAATATTTTCACATTTTTACAATGTAAGGAGTAGAAGTAAAAAGTTGGCTGAAAAATAATTACTCAAGTAAGGTATAGGTAATCAAAATATCTGCTTAAGCATATAAAAATATTTGTAATCCATTACTTGACACCTCTGCACAGCATCTGCTTGATCAGCTATAAAATATTTGAAGGTTTAGCTGTAAAGTAGGAAATCCATTCTGAGGTGGACCCTTTTCTCAGCAGCAGTAAGCCTGTCCCTTCAGGAAATGTTCGGCCTGATTCTCAGAACTGAAATCGCTCCAATTGCTTCTTACAGCAAGTCGGATACTGGTCATTCAACCTTACTTCAAAACTACTCAGTGAAATCCAAAACACATCTTTGATGTCTTGTTATTTGTCAGTAACATGAACATCTCTATGATTAGCTAAAAGGCTAACTTATTAGCCATACTAATTTGCTGGCCGTCAAACCCTAACCTGATGAGCAGCAGCATTCACGTCCAACACGACTTCAGTCTTCTAGAGCCACCATCCCTTTTACCGGGTCTTTCACTCTCATCTGAAAACAAACAGGAAAGAAAGACGAGCTTTTAGACTATAAATTATTGTAGTAAAACTACATAATTACAGAAGATTTTGCACTTAATAAAGGATAGGGGTGATAGTGGAAAAAAATCCTGAGCCTGAACTTTTTTTCTGCACCCACCCAAATATATACATATAAATATTACTACAAAACAATCTTAAAAAGGCAGATATGTCTGAGCAGAGGATTACCTGTGATGTATTATTTAAATATAATTATTAATTTAACAACACAACTGCAAAATCACCGTTCCAGTGTCAAGCTTTCACCAAGCATCAACAGGCACATTATGTAGGTTTTTTATATTTAAAAAGATCAATTCATGATCTTTGTTGAAGCAAAAAATACTTAAACATTAAAAACTTCACGACTGATATTCATACAGACAAACTGGTCAAAAAAATAAGGAGAATCTGTGAAAACTGTAATTTATATTTCATATCTAATTTTTAAAAACATTAAACTTTTCATAAAGTCTGGTTCCAAGTTTAAACAATTTTGCTCATTAAAATTCACAAATAGCCTGTTTTAAAATGGTAGAATAATACAGTACAGTATAT